AAACTTCCCACACAGGACCCCTATACTTAGGGCCATCCAGTCCAAATCCCTTCACCAGGGCAAGAAAACATAATCAAAGTCCTCCTGACAAAGAGCCATTCAGCCACAGATATAGATAGATACATATGATTCACACACACACAGATATAGTATCATAGATTTGAAAGGAACCCCTAAAGAAGGACTATGATATGTTGCATGTTCCAGAGTAGGCAAACCAGACATTCTCCACATCAACACTGACAAAGAAACAACAAGAAATACTGTTTACCCACAAGCATAAAGAAATTACATATATCAGAAACCAACACTTTCTCATTACTTTATTTTCCAGATCACCAGACTGTGCCACAGCAACGCGTGGCAAGGGATGGCTAGTGGCTTATGAAAAGGATGGGCAACCTCTACCAGTAGGATTTGCATTCTTCTCCGTGAACCATGGGAGATATATCTCAATTCTGCTGATAAATGCAGAGTAACTAATATAGGAAGATATGATTTTTTTGGACGCATACACTTTCAATTCCAAAGCAAGAGCTTTTCAAAGGTTAAGTGCAGACTTTGTTTCTATGTGCCCAAGTTACACAGTTTAAGGTGTTTGGGAAAACTTTACGTAGATGTGCTGACGTGACTTCTGAACAGTTGGCGACCAATCTGTTGAATCTTTTTAACCCTGTGGATATCCTTTAACTCAGGAGTCCTCAAACTTTTTAAACAGAGGGCCAGGTCACAGTCCCTCAAACTGTTGGAGGGCCGGATTATAATTTGAAAAAAAACATGAATGAATTCAATGCACACTGCACATATCTTATTTGTAGTGCAAAAAACACTTTAAAACAATACAATAATTAAATGAAGAACAATTTTAACAAATATAAATGTATTAGTATTTCAATTGGAAGTGTGGGCCTGCTTTTGGCTGATGAGATTGGATTGTTGTTGACATAAAAAGTCACTCACACCTTGATGTCCCCCTCGATGACAACAAGCTTGACACCCTGCTGTAATGGCAGCGGCCAGGATGTTAACTGGTGCTCCTTACAGAGAGAGGTCAACCCTTCTGTTTAAGGAGCTCCATTGGCTTCCGTTTACCTACCGAGCCCAATTCAAGGTGCAAGTGCTACAAAGCCCTAAACGGTTTGGAACCTGCCTACCTGCGTGACCGCATCTCCGTTTATGAACCCACGCGCTCCCTTTGTTCATCCGGAGAGGCCCTGCTCGCGATCCCACCTGCGTCGCAGGCGCGTTTGGTGGGGACGAGGGACAGGGCCTTCTCTGTGGTGGCCCCCCGACTTTGGAACACCCTTCCCAAAGACATTAGACTAGCACCCACATTGGCAGTCTTTAGGAAGAATTTGAAGACCTGGCTATTCCGATGTGCCTTTCCAGAATAGGATAACCCCCAGCACTATGTCCTAGAAGTACTTTATTAGAGTTTAAGACTCTCTGCACATTGCACTTGCCAAGAATTCCAACATACCACCTCTCATACCCAGCACTTTTTAATCTGTACCCATCATTGGCCCGGCCCTGGTTTTATTGCATAATAGTGTAATGTTTTTGTTATTGCTTATCCTTTTAATTTGCTTTGTATCGATTGTTATTGTCTGTTGTTGTTGTGTTGAGGCCTTGGCCTTTGTAAGCCGCATCGAGTCCTTCGGGAGATGCTAGCGGGGTACAAATAAAGTTTAATAATAATTAATAATAATTTGTTCTGTCAAAAATGTAATACAACTGTTCGGTTGCCTGACACAAAAAATAAATCACATAGTAAGTCAGTCACACCTTGTTGTGCCCCTCGATGACAATAAGCTTGACACCCCTGCTGTATCCATGTTCAACATCTACACAAATGACCAGCCATTGCCAGAAGGGACAGAAAGTTTCATCTATGCTGATGATCGTGCCATTACTGCTCAAGCAGGGAGCTTTGAGATGGTAGAAGCTCTCCAAAGCTCTAGGTGCTCTTACTGCCTATTACAGGGGAAACCAACTGATCCCTAATCCATCTAAAACACAGACATGTGCCTTTCACCTTAAGAACAGACAAGTATCCCGAGCTCTGAAGATCACCTGGGAAGGAATCCCACTGGAGCATTGCAGCGCACCCAGATACCTGGGAGTCACTCTGGACCGTGCTCTGACCTACAAGAAGCACTGCCTGAACATCAAGCAAAAAGTGGGTGCTAGAAACAATATCATACGAAAGCTGACTGGCACAACCTGGGGATCACAACCAGATACAGTGAAGACATCTGCCCTTGCGCTGTGCTACTCTGCTCCTGAGTACACATGCCCAGTGTGGAACACATCTCACCACACTAAAACAGTGGATGTGGCTCTTAATGAGACATGCCGCATTATCACGGGGTGTCTGCGCCCACCACTGGAGAAATTACACTGCTTAGCCGGTATTGCACCACCTGACATCCACCAGGAAGTAGCAGCCAATAGTGAAAGGACCAAGGCAGAGACATCTCCAGCTCATCCCCTGTTTGGGTATCAGCCAGCGTCAACGACTTAAATCTAGAAATAGTTTTCTAAGATCTACAGAGACACTCGCTGGAACACCTCAGCAAGCGAGAGTCCAAAAGTGGCAGGCTCAAACCCAGAACCTCAACCAATGGCTGATACCAAATGAGAGACTCCCCTCCTGGGCACACAGAAGACTGGGCGACTTGGAAGGCGCTGAACAGACTGTGCTCTGGCACTACGAGATGCAGAGCCAACCTTAAGAAATGGGGCTACAAAGTGGAATCCACGACATGCGAGTGTGGAGAAGAGCAAACCACAGACCACCTGCTGCAATGCAACCTGAGCCCTGCCACATGCACAATGGAGGACCTTTTTGCAGCACTCCAAGTCAGGCATGTAGCCGGGGGGGGGGGGGGAGGGGGGCTTGAGGGGCTTCAGCCCCCCCCCCCCCCCCCCGAAATTCTCATGGTGGTTCGCGAAAAGGCCTTACTGGTGCATTATTTAAACTGTTATGTTTATTCATATCATGATCTGATCACCATACTCAATATATCCCATATGCATGGGGGTATTGGAGTAACGATACAAAAGGTTTGCTAGGGTAGACCCTCTTTCACTCAGACTCAGCCCGCCCCCCCCCCCCCAAATCAAATCCTGGCTAGGGGCCTTCTCCAAGTGGCCAGATTTATTTATCCTGTAATCAGCAACCATACCATTGTGTTACAATTCTAACAGAACAAAACAAATACACAGATTAAAAAGAAAAGAAAAAAAAGAAAAAAACACACACAGATTTTGCAAACTTGGTAGTTGGTTAAATGTCCTTTGACCAGTATCTGGCCACTTGGAGTGCCTCTGGTGTTGCCGCAAGAAGGTCCTCCATTGTGCATGTGGCAGGGCTCAGGTTGCATTGCAGCAGGTGGTCAGTGGTTTGCTCTTCTCCACACTCGCATGTCGTGGATTCCACTTTGTAGCCCCATTTCTTAAGATTGGCTCTGCATCTCGTGGTGCCAGAGCGCAGTCTGTTCAGTGCCTTCCAAGTCGCCCAGTCTTCTGTGTGCCCAGGGGGAGTCTCTCATTTGGTATCACCCATGAATTGAGGTGCTGGGTTTGGGCCTGGCACTTTTGGACTCTCGCTTGCTGGGGTGTTCCAGCGAGTGTCTCTGTAGATCTAAGAAAACTATGTCTTGATTTAAGTCGTTGACGTGCTGGCTGATACCCAAACGGGATGAGCTGGTGATGTCTCTGCCTTGGTCCTGCTTTAACCCACAGATACGGAGAAACGAATTTCTAGACCTTCTTGTTGGACGAAGCACTCCAAGTGGCCAGCTACTGGTCAAAGGACATTTAATCAACTACGAAGTTTGCAAAATCTGTGTTTTTTTATCTGTTTGTTTTGTTCTGTTAGAGATGTAAAACAATGGTATGGTTGCTGATGACACGATAAATAAATCACATAGTAAGTCAGTCACACCTTGAGGTGCCCCTCGATGACAATAAGCTTGACACCCCTTCTGTATAAGCAAGTATTCCAAAATATGGAAAGCATCTGCTCCCAAGCATTTCGGATAAGGGGTGTTCAACCTGTAGAAATGTGGGCGGATGTGCCTCCAGGATGCCTGTCGGTTTATGCCTACCATTAATATTATTATTATTATTATTATTATTATTATTATTCTCCCGCTTTTATCTTAGCCAGGAACCGAGGCAGTTTGGTTTTGGATTGTTGTAGGTTTTTTCGGGCTGTATGGCCATGGTCTATAGGCATTCTCTCCTGACGTTTCGCCTGCATCTATGGCAACAGATCTCACTACCTCTGAGGATGCTTGCCAAAGTGCAGGCGAAACGTCAGGAGAGAATGCCTCTAGACCATGGCCATACAGCCCGAAAAAACCTACAACAACCCAGTGATTCCGGCCATGAAAGCATTCGACAATACAGTTTGGTTTTCTCAGGTCAGAAGCCCGGCTTGCTTGCATGCTCGCTCCTCCCCGCCTCGCGCGCTCCTAGCAACACGCTTGAGCAGCCTCAGCTCCCTTCCCTTGCACATCCTCCCCGCTCTGCTTTCCAATGAGGAGGGCCGCTCGCTCGCTCCTGACCCGGGATGAACTCCCCGGACTCCGGGCCCGGCGCCCCTCTTGGCAAGCGAGACTCTCTGGGCAGACAAGGGGAGCGCGCGCAGCACAGCACCAGCTGAAGCAATCCCACCCGCGCGCCCCCGTCCTCCTCGCGAGGGATGCGCGCGCAGCCCCCTCCCCGGGCCCCTCCGAGACGCCCCCTCCTCTTCCTCAAAGGCAGAGCTGCGCGCGCACCTCCCGCCCTCGCCTGCCCCCACCACAAGTGGCCCCTCTCCACGCGCCCCCTCCCCTGAGAGGGGCGAAGAAATGCCCCCTTGCTTGGTTCCCTCAGCAGCCCCTTCCTTCTTCAGTCGTTCCACGCTCTCCCCGCTCTCTCCCTCATCCCCAAATCCCCACAGCCCTTCCCGCTCCTTCTTCTTCTTCTTCCTTCGAAGGCTTTAATCTTACCGGCTTCTCTCCCCAAGCTCCGCGCGTGGCGAAGAGAGAGAGACAAGAGGCACGAGACGGGGCGCGCGAGGGAACAGCTCTGCCTGACGGTCTTGAGGTTGGACGGCTGGCTGCTTGGTCCCGCGCGCGCCAGAAGAGCGAGGGAGCGCGCGCACGCGCGACTGAGAAAAGCGGCGACAGCAACAGCGCGCGGCTGTGCCAAAAGCAGGCGCGCGTCAATCATCCCTCCGACTCCTCCCTCTCTCTCTCTCTCTCTCTCTCTTCCCCCCCCTTCCAAAATTTCGCGCGAGCCTCTCTCTCTCTCTTTATGCGGGATTAATTCCCACCCTCCAACAGTCTGATTGGACGACGCTGCACCTTCCCTCAGCTATTGATTGACTACGCGCTTGAGCCAATCGGGACAGAGAAAAGCCCGCGGCTGGAAAATGATTGGTGGTCGCACACACCTAATAGAGAGCAAGCGAAGGCGGGGTAGACAACTCGGCTCTCTTTTTTTCAGAAAAGGAAGTTGACACGGCGCGCGCAAGAAGGGCGGTGCTTGCTGAAGAGGCGGAACAAGCCAATGAGCGTGCAGCTCGCCGTGACAGGCAGCCGCTCCAGCCAGTGATGGTGTTGCGCAGGGTTTTTCTCCTTCGCCGGACGGAGGCCGAGCGGTGAGGCGGGCTCGTTGGCTTTTGGCGCTGCCTGGGCGCAGCGCTGGGATGAGCCGCGTCGCTGGGGTCCTTCCTGAGGCAGCGGAGGCTGCGAGGGGCGCCCGGAGCTCGGCTGAGGGGTAATTTCACACATACGCAACTCCGGGAGCGGGAGGGTAGGACTAGGCCGCGCTGAGCATAGGTGACGTTGGTCGCTACGGCGTTTCTGGTTTGGCCCTTAATCCTCAGCACGGAAGGGGAATCAAGGGATGCAGGTCGACCCCGCCTGGTCTGCCTGGTCTAGAATCATGGGAGTTGTAGTTTACCTAGAGATCTGGCCTTCTCCGCCTGATAGAAATTGGTGCCTCATCAAACTACAACTCCCATGATTCCAAAGCGACGGCACAAGGCTGCCAAACCGCTTCCATTCTACGGTCTCGATGCACCCTTCGTTTCTCCTTGGAGTCAGGCATGTAGCCGGGGGGGGGGGGGGCCTCGGGGGGCTTCAGCCCCCCCCCCCCGAAATTCTCATGGTGGTTCGCGAAAAGGCCTTACTGGTGCATTATTTAAACTGTTATGTTTATTCATATCATGATCTGATCACCATACTCAATATATCCCATATGCATGGGGGTATTGGGGTAATGAACAAAAGGTTTGCTAGGGTAGACCCTCTTTCACTCAGACTTGAGCCCCCCCCCCAACCCCCCCCCCCTAAAAAAAATCAGCCCCCCCCCCCCCCGAAATGAAATCTGGCTACGGGCCTGCTTGGTTATTTATTTATTTGTTTTTTTACGACATTTAGATGCCACCCTTCTCACCCCGAAGGGGACTCAGAGCAACTTACAAGATATATATGCATACAATATATTGTATTATTAGCATAGTACAATATTAATATTAAATATGACTATATAGTACCCAGTGGCGCAGTGGGTTAAAGCACTGAGCTGCTGAGCTTGTTGATCGAAAGGTCGCAGGTTCGATTCCGGGGAGCGGCGTGAGCTTCCACTGTCAGCCCTAGCTTCTGCCAACCTAGCAGTTCGAAAACATGCAAATGTGAGTAGATCAATAGGTACCGCTCCGGAGGGAAGGTAACGGCGCTCCATGCAGTCATGCCGGCCACATGACCTTGGAGGTGTCTACGGACAACGCTGGCTCTTCGGCTTAGAAATGGAGATGAGCACCACACCCCAGAGTCAGACATGACTGGACTTAATGTCGGGGGACTACCTTTACCTATATAGTACTATACTATTGTAATACTAGCTGTCCCCTGCCACACGTTGCTGTGATCCAGTCTGTGTATATGTGTTTTGTGTGTGTATATATGTGTTTATGTATGTGTATATGTGTGTTGCGCATATATATATATCTTCTTCTTCTGTATATATAAAAATGCTCTGCGCATGATGAGTACCTTAAAACAAAAGAACCAATGAACGAAATCACACCAAATTTGGCAACAAAACGTCTCACAACAAAAGGAGTGACCATCACTCAGGGGCATTGATTTTGTCATTTGGAAGTTGTAGTTGCTGGGATTTATAGTTCACCTACAATCAAAGAGCATTCTGAACTCCACAAACGATGGAATTGAACCAAACTTGGCACACAGAACTCCCATGACCAACAGAAAATACTGGAAGGGTTTGGTGGGCATTGACCTTGAGTTTGAGAGTTGTAGTTCACCTACATCCAGAGAGCACTGTGGACTCAAACAATGATGGGTCTGGACCAAACTTGGCACGAATACTCAATATGCCCAAATGTGAACACTGGTGGAGTTTGGGGAAAATAAACCTTGACATTTGGGAGTTGTAGTTGCTGGGATTTATAGTTCACCTACAATCAAAGAGCATTCTGAACCCCACGAATGACAGTCAGGGCAAACTTCCCACTCAGAACTCCCATGACCAACAGAAAATACGTAAGGCCAACCAGTCCAACTCCCTTCACCAGGGCAAGAAAACAATCAAAGTCCTCCTGACAAAGAGCCATCCAGCCATAGATATAGAGGGATAGATAGATATTATTCACACACACAGAGAGATATAGTATCATAGATTTGAAAGGGACCCTTAAAGAAGGACAATGATACGTTGCATGTTCCAGGTTGGGCAAACCAGACACTCTCCACATCAATACTGACAAAGAAACAACAAGAAAAACTGTTTACATAAAAGGAGAAAGACATTGCATATATTAGAAACCAACACTTTCTCATTACTTTATTTTCCAGATCAACAGACTGGGCCACAGCAACACGTGGCAGGGGACGGCTAGTATATATATATATATACTAGCTGTCCCCTGACACGTGTTGCTGTGGCCCACATGGCTGTTCTGTGTGGGAGGTTTGGCCCAATTCTATTGTTGGTGGGTGATTGTTAGGTGAACTATAAATTCCAGCAACTACAACTCCCAAATGTCAAGGTCTATTTTCCCCAAACTCCACCAGTGTTCACATTTGGGCATATTGAGTATTCGTGCCAAGTTTGGTCCAGATCCATCAATGTTTGAGTCCACAGTGCTCTCTGGATGTAGGTGAACTACAACTCCCAAACTCAAGGTCAATGCCCACCAATCCCTTCCAGTATTTTCTGTTGGTCATGGGAGAACTGTGTATCAAGTTTGGTTCAATTCCATCATTGGTGGGGTTCAAAATGCTCTTTGATTGTAGGTGAACTATAAATCCCAGCAACTACAACTCCCAAATGACAAAATCAATTTTTTTGAGTGAAGGATATACATTGGGTTGTTAGGTGCCTTGTGTCCAAATTTGGTGTCAATTCATCCAGTGGTTTTTGAGTTCTGTTAATCCCACAAACGAACATTACATTTTTATTTATATAGATGGGTGTATATAAGTATGTGTATATATGTGTATATATTTGTGTGTTTATATGTGTGCATGCATATTGTGTATATGTGTGCTTGTCTATATGCATATTTGTGTGTATATATGTATGTATGTGGATTTGTATATCTGTGTATGTATATGTATGTTTGTGTATATGTGTATATCTGTGTGTTTGTGCATATATATACACGTGTGCGTGTATGAATGTGTGTATGTGTATATGTATATATGGTGTATTTTGGGGGGTTTTAAGTCTGTTCTGCTGGGGTTGTGCGTGTGTGTGTTTACAGGCGATGGACACTCGGACAGTTAGGTGTATTGTGTCCAAATTTCGTGTCAATTCATCCAGTGGTTTTTGAGTTATGTTAATCCCACAAACGAACATTACATTTTTATTTATATAGACTAGCTGTCCCCAGCCACGCTTTGCTGTGGCCTCAGTCTGGTTCCTTCTTTCCTTTCTCTTTCCTTCCTTATCCCCCCTTTTTCTGTCCCTTCCTCTTTCTGTTCTTCTTTCCTTCTCTACCTCTTTCTTTCCTTCCTTTTTTCTCTCCTTCCTTCCCTCTTTCCCTCCTTCTCTCCATCCTTTCCTGTCCCTTTCCTTCCTTCTTTCTCTCATTCCTTCCTTTTTTTCTTCCTTCCCTCCCACTTTTGTTCCTTTTCTCTTTTTCTTTCCTTTTCTCCTTCCTTCATCCCCTCCTTTTTTCCTTTCCTTCCCCACTTTTTCTTTCCCTTTATCTTTTTCTCCTTTCTTACTTCTTTACCTCTTTCTTTCCTCGCAAAGCTGGTATGGCACTTTATCATCATTTGGGTTTTTTGGGGGTTTCCCATCCCTTCCACTGTGTTTTTAGTGTTTTTATGAGAGATGGTCACTTATTGGTCCATTAGGTGTCTTCTGGCCAAATTTGGTGTCATTTCGTCCTGTGGTTATATGTATAAAATTGCAAAGTTAAGAGTGCATATACAGTATCTTTTAATCATTTGACCTTAACCCACCTTTGAAAACTTAACTTGATTGTACATTGCAAGAGTTTGTTGCTGGATTTAATAAATCCAGCCTCATCCAGTCTGTTTTGCAAGCATCCCAGTAGTTAGGAAGAATTAAATGAAGGATGTTGACACGTGACTGTAGCCTCTGTTCATCCTTGTTGCAGACGATTCCTCAGTTTTCCCCATCTTCTTGTTGTCAATGCTTCATTTTGTAGTGGTTGTAAAAAGAAATGAACTCCAAACAATTATCCTCCCAAATCTTTTAGGACCTTGTTGATGTTAGATGCTAGCAAGGCATTTCAAAATTCATTAACATAAAAATTGCAGTAGGAAATAGTGAGAGAACACTAGCAATCATGACGATGGAAATGCACATCCTTTGATACATACTATTGTGGCAATTATTGGCTTTAATAACAAGTTGCATGGATGCAATATTGTGATTTCATTAGGTTTGTATGCTGGATCATAATGCGTACATGCGGTGGAATTGCATATTGTAATGTTTATATTGTTCATATTGTAATTTTTATATTGTGTATTCATATGTTTTATGTAACTATGATGTTTATTGTTCGTGTTTTCGGTTTGTGTTTTGGTTTTTCTTTATTGTAATTGTCATTTGGGCTTGGCCTCATGTAAGCTGCTCCGAGTCCCCATTGGGGAGATGGTGGCAGGGTATAAATAAAGATTATTATTATTATTATTATTATTTATTGTAGCAATGTTATATACATGTGATTTCAAAGAAACTCAGTTGATCTGGCTATCTGGCGTTAAATAATGGATGATTGAGAAGTAGCAAAATAGAAATGATAGCAAATACAAGAATACCTAGCTATACATTAATTCTGAACAACCTGAGTTATAGAAATATCTTAAGCATCTTCGATGTGGATTTTTCTATATGCATTATAATCTGAAAAACTCTTACAACAGTGGTTCTCAACCTTCCTAATGCCGCGGCATCCTACATCCTTCACCTACATCCAGAGAAACCTAATGCCTTCACCTACATCCAGAGAAACAATGATGTATCTGGACCAAACTTGGCACGAATACTCAATATGCCCAAATCTGAGCACTGGTGGAGTTTGGGGGAAATAGACCTTAACATTTGGGAGTTGCAGTTCCTGGGATTTATAGGTCACCTACAATCAAAGAGCATTCTGAACTCCACCAACGATGCAATTGAACCAGACTAGGCACACAGAACTCTCATGACCAACAGAAAATATTGGAAGGGTTTAGTGGGCATTGACCTCGAGTTTTGGAGTTGTAGTTCACCTACATCCAGAGAGCATTGTGGACTCACACAATGATGGATCTGGACCAAGCTTGGCACGGATATTCAATATGCCCAAATGTGAACACTGGTATAGTTTAGGGAAATTAGACTATAACATTTGGGAGTTGCAGTTGATTTATAGTTCACCTAAAATCAAAGAGCATTCTGAACCCCACTAATGGTAGAATTGGCCCAAACTTCCCACATAGGACCCCCATGACCAACAGAAAATACTGTGTTATGTGATGGTCTTTGGTGACCCCTCTGACACCCCCTCGTGACCCCCAGGTTGAGAAACACTGTCTTACAAGGTAAAGATGCTCATGGGCGGAAAAAGCTATAAACTACTGTTGGTTAAACTTTTTAAAAAGATGCAAATTGGGAGGTAGCTTAATTTGTAGACTTATCTCAATACTACCTGTTTTCATATATATTCAAGGCACAATTCCCCTATCCAGTTTCTTCCTTTTTGTTTCTCTTTATTCTAGGGACCATCCTTTCTCTTGTGAACCACCTACTGAAGCTGTTTAAATGAGAATGACCTTGGGACAGAGAGTGCTGCTCACATGGCTGTTCATATTACTGTTCTTGATCATGTTGGTGTTAAAATTGGATGAAAAAGCACCATGGAGCTGGTTCCTAATATTTATCCCTGTTTGGATATTTGATACTATTCTTCTGGTTATGATCATAGTGAAAATGGCTCGCCGTTGTAAGTCTGGATTTGATCCCCGCAATGGCTCCCTCAACCTCAAAAAGAAAGCCTGGTACCTTACAGCAATATTACTTAAGCTGGCCTTCTGTCTTGCCCTCTGTGCAAAATTGGAGCAATTTGCTGTAATGAAGCTAACTTACGTCTTTATTCCCCTTTGGGCTTTGCTCATTGGAGGGATGATAGAACTTGGATACAACATCTTCTGTGGACGAAGGGACTAACTTTTTTATATGCTGAAGTTCACCATTTGTCAGTCAGTGTCACATCCCTGATCAACCTGTTTCTGTGCTTAATACACCTAAAGGAATCACAGATATAAATCTCTTCCTGCTACCGGATCTGACTTTTCAATATGTAGAGCATTGCTGTCTAGGCTTTATGTACATACTGTAAATAAAACATCCAAATATTTTCTATGTATTTTTTCTGTATGATTTTATGTGTTCTATGAATTTGAGTCATGAGAGGAATAACACTTTCCATTGCAGGAAAATATATTAAAATGGCTGGAAGTGTCTCTGCCAAAATGTAGGCACAGATGAACTTCAGGAGCCATTTTATTATCTAAAAACTGATCTGAGGCACAAACATCTATTTTGGAAGATAAAGTCTTGCACATAATTAAGCTCTAGAACAGCACTGATACAAAGAGTGTCAGTTACAGAACACACCATTTAGATATATCTACAATGTTGTATACAGAAGCAGAAATAATACTAAATAAAATACTATATTTCACCGCAGAATAGTAACATTTTTCTCCTTTAAAAGAGGGGGGGGGAGTGCAACTATTACACAGTGATAATTTTGAGACCTATGGGGCCTCACCTAGCTGGCAGCCAAAGGAGGCCCCATAGGTCTCACCTGCCGGTACGAATGGGCGAGCAAAGCCTCCTTTGGCTAATGGTAGCCAGGGAAGGCCTCACCTGATCGCACAGGAAAGTAAAGCCTACAGGGTTTCCCTGGCAGGTACCCTGTAGTTCTCCCTGGCAGGTACATAGGCTGGAGGCAACCAAAAGAACCCTAGCTCTTTCACCTTTACCTGCCCGTGTGCCTGTCCCTCTTTGCTACGAGGCCTATTATTATGCGAGGATTACTTAAAATACCCTAACCGGGATCACAGTGGTGTCTAGTATTGAATGAAATACAGTATAGTCAGTCCCCAAGTTACAAACATCTGACTTACAAACAACTCATAGTTAAGAACAAGGGTGAGACAACAGGAAGTGAGAGAAACCTACTCCTGGAAAGGGAAATCAACTCCTGGAAGAGTTATTATGGGGAAAAGGTGTCTCAACTGAAGGTTTAGCACCACCGCTTGTTTTCCTCAACAAGCCAAATCTTTCAAAATCCAGTTATCAGGACAGAATGTGAAGTGAAATCTTCTGAATAGATGCACATCAAAACAAACACCACAGGTGTGTTCACCCTTCTCTTTGCTATCCAAAGCTAAAAGAGACATATTTTGGTTGGATTTACACTTGAAAAATGACCTGTTCTGACTTACAAACAAATTCAACATAAGAACAAACTTACAGAAACTATCTTGTTCATAATGTAAGAACTGCCTATGTTAGATTTGTTTTCCCCTTTACAAGTGGAAGTGGGGCACAATACTGACACCACCTAGATGAATATTTTTATAGCGCCAGTATGACCCACACAAAATTGCTTTAAAATACTGATTTTCCTATAAGCTATTAATCCATCAGTACTATTATGTGCCAAGACCTTTATTTACAGATTGAAAAGGGTTTTACAGACTCCATGATGTATTGCAAAAGTAAGCAAATTCGGGTATCGGGAGCTCAAATATTGTGCAGAAAATAAAATAATTTGTGCTATTTTTAGAAATCCTGTTTGAATAAATGTATCTGTGAGCCTTAAAGAAAGAAACAATAAACAAAACTATGAACACAATTTTTTCTCGATGCAACTATAAGGACTGTAAATCAATAGTTAACACAGGGATGGACCCAGAGATAGATGAGTGAAATCTTGTTTATTCAAGACAGCTTTCTTGCCATAGTCTAGAGGACAATTGGAACATCTGATATAGGACAACAGAACGGCAAAGTATTCATTTTAATCAAAACCACTGCATCTAAGAATCAAGGACCAATTTTTTTTTTGATACCATTCTGTTCTATAGTGAAAAGTTACTGAAACCTTTATTTTTCTTTTTTGCAACAGCTTTTATTTCAATACGGATTTTTTGTATTTGAGCTGGGGGGAGTGCAAACCTGCTTTGGGGGAGAATTACACAAATTTGAATTACATCACAAATAGTAGAGTTCACAAAGTAAGATGCAGCAACTTAAATAGAATAGTTTGACTTTATTTTAGAAAGCTATTTGAAACTTGGTCATGGTGATGTTAGAACAGGGAAGAAACTTTTGTCACTATTTTTAAAGCCGATTTTGTGATTATTTGCACAAAGGATAGAGAGTACAGTGGCTCAAATCTGCTGGGATTTGGTTCCAGAACTACACCCTTTGGATACTGAAATCTGTGGATGCTGAAGTCCCATTTGGCCCAATGATGTAGTGAATGGAATAACTTAAAATTACAAACAACTCAAGTGCCAGAGAGAACCTTAAGGATCTGTGAAATGGTGGTAGGCTAGCACTGAGCATGTGGCAAAATCAAAGTTTACTTTTGGGAAATTTTATCCCAAGCATATTCAAGCCATAATTGGATGAAGTGTATGCAGAACCAATAACAAAGAGTCAACTGCATTTCGTCATAGAAACTTGGAATTGTATACAAAGGTAAGTATACAATATATTGCTAAGTAGCTAATAGTTTGATCCAATTGTTTTCTTAGAATTAGCACAATTCTAAATGGATTTTACTTTTGTTTCTGTGCACAGTTCAAGGAACTGACTGATAATCAGATCTTAGATTTGGACAGGGTTAGCTGAAAGAACTATCTGCAGCCTCTGTATCATGTATGATCTTAGATGGAAACCTTTTAAGGAGGCTAGTGTTGTAGATACTCGACACAATCTAAATCCAACTGCTACTTTAGTTGAGGTTGACAATCAGATCTCAGCCTATTGAATTAAATACTATCACTTATACGTATATAAATTTCACTGATTCAATGGGTCCAGCTTAGCTGGGACTGGCAATCGGATTCAGACCTATTATTTTAGGTTGTTCATACTGTATACCAGGGGTCCTCAAACTTTTTAAACAGAGGGCCAAGTCACAGTCCCTCAAAGAGTTAGGGGGCCGGATTATAATTTGAAGAAAAAAAAGTGAATTAATTTCTATGCACACTGCACATATCTTATTTGTAGTGCAAAAAAACCCACTTAAAAACAATACAATAATTGAAATGGAGAACAATTTTAACAAACATAAACTTATTAGAATTTCAGTGGGAAGTGTGGGCCTGCTTTTGGCTGATGAGATAGGATTATTATTGTATGCTTTCAAGTTGTTTCAGACTTAGGTTGACATTGAGTGAGGGCTGGGTAAATGACCTTGGAGGGCCGCATCCGGCCCCTGGACCTTAGTTTGAGGACCCCTGCTGTATACTGTATAATAACATATTTAGTTTGCTGTGCCTTTGCTTTTGTATTTTAGTGAACGGAATTATTCCTATTATTTTTCGCATGTATATGTAGTATTTTTAAAAGATGTCTAGGTATAAATATTGAAATAATGTTTTCAGTGGGATTGAAGTGCTTTACTTGGTCAGATGCATGCCACTCCTTTTTGTGCAGGCCAGATTTTGTTCACAACCAATAGGCCTTTGCTTTACCATCCTACCATTGATCTTCTAGTTCAGGTATGGGCAAACTTCGGCCCTCCAGGTGTTTTTGACTTCAACACCCACAATTTCTAACAGCCAGTAAGCTGGCTATAATTTCTGGGAGTTGAAATCCAAAATGCCTGGAAGGCCGAAGTTTGCTCATGCCTGTCCTAGCTGCAAAAGAAGCACATCTACAATGGAATCTTCTCACACACTTGCTGAAATTCTGCAGTAAATCTAACACAATGTGATGGAAGTTGATGTGTTGAATCCAAGTACCCTTCCACTTGTGAAACTTGAAGATTAGGCAACCAGAGGTTTTACTCAAGAATTTTCCTTTTCAATCAAACTCAAGGGGGGGGGGGGAATATAGTACTACCAAACACCAAGTAAAACGTATATAAAACTAGCCCAGTGTGCATACAGAATGAAGACTCTGAAAGGAACAGGAAGTTTTACTACTTTCCAAAATGTGTATGAGATTATTCTGTAGCTCACCTAACAAAAATATTTTACCCATCCTTATCCCAGTTTGGCAAAAGCATGACATTTGTTTGTAAGAGTTCAAGAGAGGCTACCCTGTAGGGCAGGGGTCCACAAACTTTTTAAGCAGAGGGCCAGGTCACAGTCCCTCAAACTGTTGGCGGGACAGATTATAATTCGAAAAAAATACGAATGAATTCCTATGCACACTGCACATATCTTATTTATAGTGCAAAAACATTTAAAAAGCAATACAATAATTAAAATTAAGAATAATTTTAAGAAATATAAACTTATTAGTATTTCAATGGAAAGTGTGGGCCTGCTTCTGGCTGATGAGATAGGATTGTTGTTGTAATTTTGTGCTTTCAAGTAGTTTCATACTCGGGTAAATGACCTTGGAGGGCTGCATCCGGCCCCGGGCCTTAGTTTGAGGACCCCTGCTGTAGGGTGTGTACAAGAAGAGCAAGTATCGAGGAGCCTAATCCACATCTTAGTATTCCAAGCAGTGTGAAAATATAAATCTCTTTTTAAATATATAAACTACCACTATTCATATCCAGGATTGTTTTAAACTTAGTAAAAGCATGATGTGAAGAAATTATATTTTCTATATCAGTTTTTCTTAAGAGTATTAGGCTCCTGCCTTTTACACACACCTCTTCTAGAAGAGTACTGCACTGGTGCAAGGTGGGTCCTAGTTTCCTTTTTGTAATTAATATCAGAGAGAAAATGTTCAGAAGGAAATGAAGAATGGCCATCTCGCTGCTTTATATGGATTGGCAACATGGCCCTTTGTGATTGGACAGAATTTTCTATGGGTACTCACTATTGGCCATGTTGGCTAAGACTGATGAGCTGCAGTCTGAACATCCGTCCATTTAGACCCACCTCAGAAGCATTTTTAAATGGACTTCTTGGTTCAGATTGTGCTATTTCCTCCAGACAACCATGAGCTTTTAATTAAGGTGGCCAAGCTACAGCATGACAATCCATGCTGCTGGGAAGTCAGAGAGTCAAAGACAGACCACAAGCACCATAAATTCCAACCCTCTGCCATTCAGGAATACACACCAAATTCTCCTGCAGAAGATGGCCATCCAGCATCTGTTTAAAGTCCTCCACTATCTTTCAGAGCTAATCTATTCATTGTTGAACATCAATAAGTTCTTCCTAATATTTAGGTGGCATCTTTTTACTCGTATTTTGAACCCATTGGTTTATGTTTCAGTCTTGAGCAACAGAAAATAAGCTCACCCCATGTTCTATAATATGGTTATTGCATCCAATCAGCTGAAAGCATATGATACTATGGGGAACATATCTGAGGAGAGACTGATGATGAAATAAGACTACATTTGCCAATAATTATTCCATGATTTATAGTTCTATCCAGTGATACCATTTCTGTTTGCATCAGATTTCTTAACAAATGAGAACAAGGGCCCACAAATATACTGATACTTATGCAGTTAAATATAAAATGTATGCTTTTCCATTTTATTGTTGACTACTTGTCAATTTCTTTCTACAGAAAGCAAGTTTGGGGCATTTGTGTCCCTCCATATGTTGCTGGGCAATTCCCATCAACTTATTCAATACTAAGAGATAAGGGAATAATAGTTTATCCACATTGAAGAATAGACATTTTTCATATAGTAAAACCAAATTCCTTCAGTTCACATCCTTCAGATGCTTTCCCATCATCGTAACCACTGTTGTTTATGGCTATTGAGAGCCATAGTACCAAACATCAGGAGAGCACCAGGCTGGAGAAGGGTGACGTAAGAGAAAGCAAGACAACAGGTACTCCATAGTGAAGATCTATTTAGAGTTAAACATTACTAAGTCCAATCAAGTCACAAGTAAGATGAGTCAATTCAGGGTAATTTAGTGAGTGATAATGTGAGCAGGATTGCATTCCCTAAATTGAAAGTGATTCATTTTCAGACAACAATAACACTGAACTACTTGTCTCAGAAATTTACCACAGCTTGAAGCACTAGGAGCAAAATCAATATATCATAGGACGAGACATGTTCATGGCATATTTAACCATATGCAAGACTTGCTTTGAAAATGAATTTTTGTGAAAATGCAACAGAAAGATTGTATCTCATAATGCACTCAAGCATTTTATTCCATCATAAGAATAATCACTTTTTTGCATTTAAAAATGAGCGTAGACATTTTTACTTTTTAAAAAGGGACCCCAAAATAAAATCCATTATTGTTATTATGAACCTTTATTAAGTGGCTCACATTTCAATATAAATCACACTAAAAAGATTTCTTTTTTTAAAAAAAGCTATTTACACTACAGTGCTGACACATTAAAAAGAAAAAAAATCAGTATAAATAAGCTCTATGGAAAAGCCTGGAATCATCAAAAAAGAATTCTGGCTTATTTTACAAAAAATATATGTTAAATGTCAGCTCTATTCTAAAACCTACAACTCATATTTAAAGACTTCTTTATGTTACACCTGCAGTGTTTACAGTGCATCTGGCCCTAAGTGCTTTGATACTTTCACAGTTATGGACAGGCACTGAGGAATGTTACAAAGCTACATAAACTATTTTCTGTAACAGATGTGAGGACAAGTAATAAACCTGCCTCACAAAATTTAAGCATCTTTACATTATTATGTCATGTTTAAAAAGGAATTTAAAAACATATATACAACTTTAACACAAAAAGTCATCTTCTTGTTTGACATGCAGACTTGGATGTGCTGAACTGCTTTGTCGTGTGTCCTCCAGGTTCACGTGACTCCCTCTGCACAAGTTGTCTTCTAAGTCTCTTTCATCCTGTTCAAATTCAGAGTCTAGTTCAAACCTAGATCCCGACAACTGACCATGATCCAGCTTTGCTTTGACATCCCAACAGTCCACAGCATTGGTCGCTGTTGTTTTTTCATGAGGGTTAACAGTAGCGGGTTCTTCTTTACTTTTGAGAGATACTGAAGGTTCATGTTGCATGCAAGAAAATTCCTGTTTTATATATTTAGTTTGTATGCTGCCTAAAAATTTGGTGTCTTCAGAGGCATTTCTGTTTGCTGTATGGATTACATCATCAGTGTGAAGTCCTACAAGAGAAGTGGTGGGATCTGTTGGTGGATCTTTGTCGTAGACTGTTTGATTTTCTCCCTCTGAGTGGTAGAGCTTAAGTCGAACGTGCCAAGCCAAACTGCACACGGCTGAAACAGTCTTAAACTGATGTACAACATTCCTTGGAATAAAATAAATATCATTATCGTGCAACTGAATTCTGGCATACCGAATGCCTTCCCTTCGTAATTGGTTAAGTTTTGCATCATCAACCCACTGGACACACTAGAAAGAAAAAGTACGTAAGTAAATTAACAGCATTGTTTCAAGCATGACAACTTTCTCAAATGATTTCTCAGTCAAAAGAGTTACCTGTGAAAGTGGAGGTTCGTGCAAATCTAGCTGCAGTCGTTGAACTACCTCTAAGAAATCTTCTGCATGAAAGCAAATCACATCTTTGGTTATACGAGGTTGTTCAGGCCTGTACAAGAAAAAATTTTTTTACTGCCATTAGTGGTACTGCTAAAATTAATAGTTTGTTCTTTCCTTTCTAAATATTTGTATACACAAAAATTCAAGTTACTGACTTTGACCTACAGATCCTAGCTTTGGACAAGGAATTTTTTTCCAAGTCAGCATAATTTACCACATTTCACTCTCCTCTTAACATTTCACCATCAGTTCATGGCTGATGCCCTTTCTACAGAGTTCAATCCAGCTACCAGCAGACAGACAAATGCTTACAGCTGTCACAGTGCTTGAGCATTTTACCTGCATTTGTAATTTTTTACTGAACTCCATAAAACTGAGAGAAAAATAAGCCATGCACAGTGATGAATAGAAATAATCTTCCTGAATAGATTTCAAGAACAGATTATTCTAGAGCTCAAAAGGCGGGGGAGATGGCTCAATTCAGAAATCCTTCCTATTTCTACTCTGCTCAACCTGATCAGTATAATGCTACACTCCAGCCACTGTGTCTGTGATAACATATGGCGGATTAATATCTTTAGTTTTAGGAATTTAGACTTCCCCTTTTCAGAAACAGCAACACCATACCGATTATCTTCTAGTTTCCTATGTTGCCTTGTCATTGGCAAACTAAGAGGGATGTATCAAGAGAGTACACAAACAGGAGTTTGATGCCTCACTCCTCATTTCATGCAGCTATTTTTTAGATGTCTAAAAAACAATCTGACAAATACCTACCACTCTCCACAATGCACTGCCTTTAATACCCCCACAGCAGCTGTTGTCTGTCGTTCAAACCCTTGTCCTATGTGATCTGCATGGGCTCGTGTTCTGTCTTCAAAGAGCATTTCACGAGGCTCACTAGTACGAGGTAGGTACTGCAGGTTTTTTATTTCATTGGTAGTTCTGTTAAAAAAGGGAAAAGCCCACAGGGTATATTTATGTCAAATTTACCTTTAAGATTATTTTTCATAAGCAGTATCAGTGAGCAACTGAGCACAGTATTATGCAAGTATTTGTTGTTCATTCGTTCAGTTGTTTTTGACTTTTCGTGACCTCATGGACCAGCCCATGATACAGGGTGAGGAGGCAGCATAACTTCCTTTTTTAAAATGCACGCCATTCAGTCGGTTGAAGACGTAGCAGAGTGCTAGTGGTTTCATTCGAGAGGTGGGAGCATAAAGTTTTGCCCTGACACAGTTCAGTCACCATCATGCGTTCGAACAGTGAGGAGCGTGCTTTTGCCGTTGAGGCCTACTTTTCGAGCGGATTTGGAGTGGCTGGCCCACTCTCCAGATTTGGCCTCTTGTGATTTTTTCTATGGGGTTTTTTGAAATCTCACGTTTATGTGAACTGTCCAAGGACCCTACAAGATTTGAAGACCAACATCCAGGAAGAAATTGCCAACATAATGCCTGCTATGCTGGCAAGAATCATGACAAACACCAGAAATTGGTTTACTCAGTGTATGGAGAATGAGGAATGGGGGATGTCACCTACCTAATTTGATCTTCAAAACTACATTAAAAAAAACTTTAGGTATGCGCCTACATTATAAAAAAAAATTCTGATTCATACAATGGGTTTTATTAAGTTTTGAAAAAAGGAAGTTATGCTGCCTCACCCTGTACCTACATATGGGGGATGGGGGATGTCACTTACCTAATTTGATCTTCAAAACTACGTAAAACAAAACTTTAGGTATGCGCCTACATTATAATTTTTTTTTTAAAAAAAATCTGATTCATACAATGGGTTTTATTAAGTTTTGAAAAAAGGACGTTATGCAGCCTCACCCTGTATATGCAAGTATACTTCTCATTTAAATTGTCTTTGTTTTTGCTAATAATACATATGTACCGAGAAAAATCAGAACAAAGACATAGATTTCAAAAAGAACTGCCACACAAACGATACTGCAGAGGTCATGTTTTATCTCAGATTGTATTTACAATTTTAATACAATCATAGCTCTCAGTATTTGCTCCCATAAACTATCACTATATTAACATTCAAGGTAAGAATTGTCAAATATTGTGACAAGAAGCATCTACTTTCCTAAAGAGTGAATCATGCCAAAAATGGGAGACATTTATAAGACCTAAGCTCATAATAATCTCACGAATGAAATTTATTACATAGCAAGCACAGGCCAGCTCTAAAATAGTCATGAAATCACCTTCCTACCTGCTGACTGTGCTACTGCAGTGCCATGAACATGGTAATTGTGATGAAGTTAAATGCACTCTGGACATTTTACATTCATAGTCTTGTCTATTCTTTTTCTCCACCAAAAGGAGAAACTTAAAACTACTATTCTAGTTCACCGTCTTCATATTCTCACTCTTTTCAGTTTTTGTATTTCGAAAACAAATAATGTGTGAGAAGAAATGCTGGCTCTTGCTCACAGAAATTCTAAACTGCATGACTTTATATTATTAATGCTGGCTGAGCAACTTCACTCCAAACAAGTTCAGCAGGTAACTCCACTACCAGAAACATACACACATTGAAGAGGTTGAAAGGCATTAGTGTCCACTGTGTGAATACAAGTCATGTGACTGCGGACTGCTTCTATTCAGCATCCAGATGCATGATCATAACATGGACCTTAAACAACTTCCTCATGAATTATTATTATTATTATTGATACCCTACTTTTTTCTCCACAAGGAGACTAAAAGACCTTAAAAACTAGAGAAATTTGTTAACCCTTTAGCAATAAACAACCAGACAACAATATTTTTCAAGGAAGTTAGGAAAAAAGCAGAATAATAATTATGCCGCAGGGCTACGCATCACTGTTTTCCCTCCCCCAACCACCAACTGCCACTCTGGGCCAGAGTGAAGAGAGAGGGGGCCAGGGGACCTTGTCTCTTGTGCTATGCTAATAATATAATGTAATGTAATGTATATACATATAATATTTATAATATTATAATGTAATGCAATATAATATTAATAATAATATAATTATATATTTATATTACATGTAATATTACTAATAATATTACAATATAATGGTATCGTACAAATAGTAATATTTAATACTGATATTGTACTATGCTAATAACGTAATATATTGTACGTATATATATCCTGTAAGCCGCTCTGAGTCTCCTTCAGGGTGAGAAGGGAGGCATATAAATGTCGCAAATAAATAAATAAATAAATAAATAAATAAATGTGAACATATACCATTTCTTTGAATCCATGTATACAATGTATACAATTTCTTAGAATCCAGTCAACACAAATGGTAGTTGGAGAATAGTGCCTTTTTGCTTGTGGCATCTAAAACGTAGCTATTCTGGTAGCAAGCAAATATCATGTATTTACTCACAACATTTATAAGATTTTGCCTATACTTTTTTACTCTGCTTTTGTGATAAAATAGCTATAATAATATTACTTGGTGACTTTAATGCCAAATTAGGACCATCCCTCTATGATTTTGCTCAGAAGAACAGATTCCCAAATGAATTCTTTGAGAATCATCCAGAATGGCGCTCAAGGGACAGCAAAAGTAACAGTTCTGGTTTGTACTTAGTTTCGCTAATTTTTAAATGTAATCTTCAGATCTTAGCAAGAAAGGATGATAACTATACATATCCACACACATACTACTCAGCTAATTCAAGTAGTATATTAGATCTCATTTGTGTATCAAGAAACAAAGTGGACCTTTTCTCAGAGATTACTGTACTTCCAAGAGGGGAAAGTGATCATCAACCAGTGAGTGTGATAAAATAGCTGCTGTTATGCTGGCTTAATTTTCATATGTTGATGGAAGTATTATGAAAGTTTTCAGATAGAATGAGATTATCAAATATTTCTAATAAACATTTAATGAAGTCTGACTTTTCCACATACCTTTTCCTTTTGAAAGGTGACTTTGGCATGTCTGCCACAGGGATCATTTGCTCTCCTGGACGTACCCACATGATGGGACCATCATCACTATCCTTACGAGTTTCTAACTTCAAACTAGAAAGTGTCCCCCATGGCAAAGTACACTGAGAAGAAACAGGATTTTTTTCAAAGTCAATGTTATTTTCCAAACTCTACAATCAGACAATTTTAATTTTCAAAACAGTATATATGCAGCTGTATTTCAAAAATGAGAATGGACCACTTCTTCAATGCATAATGTTACCCAATATCATCATCATTTTCAAAACAAATACCAACATTTTGAAAATGTCCATTTATGCAAGGGATGGGCTGCAAGTGAACATAGTGTACTTTAACATGAATGTTTCACTCAATTAGAAGCATGCAATATATTTAAACTCTGGACTACTACTTATTAGTCCTAATCAGAACACACCACTGAATTAACAGTAACTTGGTACATCAAAACTTAAGTTACACTGATTCTGTTTGGCTAGGATTCAAACTACAATTTGAAATCAATTGCCTCAGACATCAGAATGTGAACTAAATGAAGAATTCAAGTTACATAAATAAACTGAAGGAACAAGGACATGTACTAGCACCTTTATCTCTAATTATTTTGCTGTTTGGGCTGTCTCAGATCTAATTTCTACAACTGCAGTGTGATTTTATATAGAAATAAATGCCAACCCTATTCAATTTCCTTCTTACTTTCAACAAAGGTGAATCTTCCAGCATATCAAGGAACTCTGGAAAGTAGTCCCCCACTTCTTCATCCACTGCTCCAACTAAGCTGATTTGTCTCATAGGGCCAGCTCTATAAGTACCATGGGAATAGGTTCTTTTTACCTGAAAGCAAATCATTTACAATAAAAAAGTGGCAATCACTTTGCTCTCATACTAATTCACAAAACGGTTAACACTTGAAAAACTGTATTGAATACTTTGTAAAACAAAAGTAATATTCGGTAATTGAATTAAAATTATTCACAACACTGTAAACTTTAAAAAGGGAACTATTTGCGACATTAATATATAATTAGAAAAAATGAAATACTTATTTTAAAGCATGACACAAATACAGTACATGACAAAGGGTAAGAAGAAAATGGCAAGAGCACAGAACACTGGGAAAAAACTTTATGTGGATGTAGTCTAATGATATCACAGTCTAATTGAAAGAGAGTTTATACTGCGAGCCATCTTCAGTCCAACATTGGGAGAAAAGCAGGGTATAAATTAAATCTAGAAAATTAAATAAAGAGAAAACAAAATATATAAACAAGATATATAAACCCATTGTCCTAGTTCCAACAGACCTCACTACCTCTGAGGATGCTTGCCATAGATGCAGGCGAAACGTCAGGAGAAAATGCCTCTAGAACATGGCCATATAGCCCGAAAAAAACCCACAAGAACCTATTAACAAAATATCATTTCTCTATTCAGGAATATACATAACAGAATCCAGAGGAACAAAGCACAGCTTTGATGTTGCCTTTATCTTATTGTAAAAACATAGCTATTGAATATACTGTATATACTCGAGTATAAGCCAAGTTTTTCAGGCCTTTGTTGGGCTGAAAAAGTCCCTCTCAGCTTATACTCGAGTCAAGGTTATTTATTATTTTACTCTGTTATACGTTTATTATTTTACTTTATTGTTGTTATTATTATTACATTTATTATTTTACTCTATTTATTATTGTTGTTATTATTACATTATTATTTTACTCTATTTTTATTGGAAGAGCATGCAAGTTTTATGTAAAAATTGCAGTTTTATGTAAATATTCAAAAACATTTAACCTCCTGATGCCTCAATTAATGTAATTTTATTGGTATCTATTTTATTTTTGAAGTTTACCAGTATCTGTTGCATTTCCTACCCTCGGTTTATACTCGAGTCAATCCGTTTTTTGAGCTAAAATTAGGTGCCTCGGCTTATATTCGGGTCAGCTTATACTCGAGTATATACGATAATCTAGAATAGCGCTACTCAAGGTGGTGGTCCATGAAACAGCTTTTGGCTGCTGATCTGCTACAGTTTTCCAGTAACAGAAACAGTCGTAGCCAATCTGGTCTTCTGTTACATCAGACAGATTTTAAGAAACACTGTTCTAGAACATCAAGACATTTTATTGCAAGAGCATTACAGCAAGTGATTTAAGAAAGACTGGTGATTTATGTCACGGATAAAGTGCAGCACACAGGCCACAGGCCAGGAACTATTTTGAGTTCTCCCGCTTTTGCGTGCACATGTTCCTCCTTCTCTCCCCACCTCCAAAAACTGCTTCATTTTCAGGAGCAGCAATATAGTGTGTTTGGCCTCTGCCACTAGGCAAGTGAGTTTGGGAGTCCTTAATAGGAACATGGCCAGACATTCACAACTATCCACTTAGTGACCTTGTTTGATATATATTTGCATCAGCTTGGTAATCTCAAGATGGTGGGAAATATACAAACTGAGAGCACAGTTTTAACAGCTAAAGGGGGTTCTTTGTTTATTTCTGCATATAGAACTCTTGAAAATACATCTTCCACTTCCTTCCTGAAGGAAGTGGGCATCAAATCAGGGGACCCATACAATGAGTCATGAGGAATTTGATCACCAGGCAGGGACAGTCTTGCAGAACTAGTTAGTAACCTAGTTTTATCATAAGAACTATTAGACAATGCTGGATTCTCTCAGCAAAAAGGTTGGAATGCTGTATATACTATTTGCTACAACATTTACCACTTGAGAAGGCCTAGAACTATACTCAGTACTGACACAGAATACTCAGCTTTTAACAACATGCATACTCAAAACCAATCTGAACATTTTGATCTCTTGCATTTTGTGGTCCATGGTAAGTCTGGAGGAAGAACATTAGTCTCGAGGCTCCAGGAACTTTTCCATCTCTCATTTATTTAAGAAAGGATTAAAAGACAGTTACTTTTATGATATGTCACAATCTATTAAGTGGTTTCATCAATTTACATCACCAGCTCATCCCTTGTTTGGGCATCAGCCAGCATGTCAACGACTTAAATCAAGAAATAGTTTTCTAAGATCTACAGAGACACTCGCTGGAACACCTCAGCAAGCGAGAGTCCAAAAGTGGCAGGCTCAAACCCAGAACCTCAATCAATGGCTGATACCAAAGGAGAGACTCCCCCCTGGGCACACAGAAAACTGGGTGACTTGGAAGGCGCTGAACAGACTGCGCTCTGGCACCACGAGATGCAGAGCCAACCTTCAGAGATGGGGCTACAGAGTGGAGTCCACGACATGCGAGTGTGGAGAAGAGCAAACTACAGACCACCTGCTGCAATGCAGCCTGGGCCCTGCTACGTGCACAATGGAGGACCTTCTTGCGGCAACACCAGAGGCACTCCAGGTGGCCAGATACTGGTCAAAGGACATTTAATCAACTACCAAGCTTGCAAACTCTGTGTTTTTTGCATGTTTGTTTGTTTCTTCTGTCAAAAATGTAATACAACTGTTCAATTGCCTGACACAATAAATAAAATCAATTTACAAACCAATACAATCCTATATATTCTGCCTGATGCAAGCCTATAATTTCATAGATTATTATGAACGGAAATAAAAATACAAAACACAGGACAGACCACAGCCGCAGGATTAATCTTTAAACTTAAAAATAATCACAATGGCAATTACTTCGAATGTTTCAGTATTAGCATGTCTATTGTTTAAAATCACATGTTATTATTTTCAATACTTATTCAAGGGCAGATTTTTCTTTCTTTCTTCCCTCCTTTTTTTGACTATCAAATCTTTTTTATAGGCATAAAATACCCTATAGCTATTTATTCTTTTTCCCATAGAACATATAATGGTATTTTGACCAGCAGCTTATCCAGAGTTGGCATGAGAAAGGAAAACTGTTCTTAAACACATTCAGCTTGTGTTTATATAAACTTATTTCTGCCTCAGAAAATCCTACAACCATCTTTGACTAACTAATCTTCCAATCAAAGTTTGCAATGTGTTATTTTTCCATGTAAACTTCGGATACATGCTTTAAACTTCGGATACCTATTTCCGCTGTGCCTTTGGAGGGTAGGTATTCAATCCTGCACTATTGATTAGCCTCAACGTCTTTGTCATTGGAGTACACATCCCCCCTCCCCTCTATGGGAAAGTTGATCCCACAGTCCTGAGTCCCACAATCCTGACTCCTAATGAGTCCTCCTCCGCAAACAATTGGTTTTCTCCTTTATCTCGCCTGAGTTTTTAACCAATTTTAATGAGTCTCTCTTTTAATCATTACATGTAGCCCGCCCACTATTATTGTGATTGTGTTTTGTAATTTCATATTGTTATCTATTTATATGTTTTATGTAATTATGATGTTGGATTACTGCAACGCACTCTACGTGGGGTTGCCTTTGAAAACTGCTCGGAAACTCCAGCTAGTCCAGCGAGAGGCAGCCAGGTTGCTCACTGGAGCAGCACACAGGGAGCACACCACCCCTTGTTGTGTCAGCTTCACTGGCTGCCGATCCAATTCCGAGCACAATTCAAAGTGCTGGTTTTAACCTACAAAACCCTATACGGTTCCGGCCCAGTGTATTTGTCCGAACGGATCTCCCTCTACGTCCCACCTCGGAGTTTAAGATCATCTGGGGAGGCCCTGCTCTCGACCCCGCCTCTATCTCAAGTGAGGCTGGCGGGGACGAGGAGCAGGGCCTTCTCGGTGGTGGCCCCTCACCTATGGAACTCACTCCCCGGGGAGATCAGATCAGCGACCTCCCTTCTGTCGTTCAGAAAAAAACTGAAGACCTGGATTTGGGACCAAGCTTTTGGACATTCTGGCAGCTAAAATAAGGACCCATTGATGAGCAGGAATTGTTGGAATGAATGGACATTTCGGAACTCTGAATCACTGTGCATGAAATTGTTTTTATTATATTATGTAGTGATGTGTTTTAATTCTGTTAAATGTTTATACTGTTTTATATATGCTGTATATTTTGACAGGCATCGAATTTGTGCCTTTGTTTGTAAGCCGCCCTGAGTCCCCCCTCGGGGGTGAGAAGGGCGGGGTATAAGTAACTGCAATAAATAATAAATAAATAATAAATGTTGTGCTTTGTTTGCATTTTTGGTTTGCATTTTCGGTTGTATTTTATTGTTTGAGCTTGGGCTCATGTAAGCCGCTCCGAGTCCCCATCGGGGAGATGGTGGCGGGGTATAAATAAAAATTATTATTATTATTATTATTTAGATATATTAAAAGGATGTGCTTAAATCGTGAAGCTATATAAAGTTCTCTAAAACTAATTGTGGAAATAAAATGCTTACCATAAAAATTTAAAAAGTACTGGCATGTAAAATCAATGAGTCAGATTAGAAAAAGGCATTACAGGTATGTCTCAGTTAATGAAGCCTCTGAGAAAGAAGTTTATTTTACCAATGCTTTTGGAGCACATAGAGCTAGAATTGGGTTCCTTCTCATTCTTTCCACTCAGTGGAAAAGAAAAGCCTCCCCGTAGTGTTAGCCCACCCACAAGGCTTGATGCTGTAATGATGAATCAGCTTCCTATATGTAGTAACAGATTATCTCTGCTGGCAAAGGAAAGAGAAACCAATAGACAAGAGACAGGAAGTGACTGTGGCGAATCCTAAAACTCACTCCCAGCTCAGTTCACGCTTTCCCTGATTCAAAACTTGAGTCCTGAAATGAAATCTCAGAGAACTGTGCTCATTTAGCGGGCAGGTGCTATGCTATAAAAGGGGGAGGGGAGACAAAGCAGATATGTTTGCATTTTGTTAGAAATATTCAAGTGGTCTACAAAAGTTAAAAATGTTTTTGTTTACTTATGCAAAACTTCGG